GAAGGGGATGGGAGGTGGAGAGGGGATGAAGGGGTGGGGAGGTGGGTGTGGCAGCGGAAAATCCTAAACTGAATGTTATATATACATATATAAAAGTAATTTTCTTTAGTTAATGGTGGTTCAGTTCGATTTGGGTTGAATTGATTAAAAAACTCTTCAACTTGAGAACCGAACCAAATTTTTCGTTCTAGAAAAAACAACCCAACCTAACCCGAATAAACTTCTAACCAATGGGTTGTTCGGGTTGCTTGGTTCACTGGGTTTTTTGAACACCCCTACTTGATTACTTGTACTTTTAACTTTCGTTAAGTTATTTCTTGAATCTGGATGGGCAGATGCTATAAATTTGTAAGGTCTAATTTCTATGGACGGACGATACTATGTTCCTGGGTTCTTTTGTATTTTTCTTGCTATTTTATGAAAGACTGTAGATGAGTTGGTCATAAGATAATGCTACGTATTCAGTAGTATAATCTAGTGATCAAATTTATTATTTTCCATCAAGTCGATTTCATAAGATAGAAAAAGTTCATGGTGAAAAAACAAAACTCGGAAAGAAAATTTTTCCTAATTTCTTTTGTTCACTGGTCTTTTATTCAAATACAAAAATATCCAACAAGTAAATTTGTTCCGTAAGTTAAGTTAGCCATTCAATTCTCCCTTTATTGAACGTCGTCTCATTTGCTTTACCTTTTCCTTATTTGGTACTTTTGTGCTTGTCGTTTCAATTTTCTTTTAAATCTCTATGACTTTCTTTTTCAGTTCTTATTGTCGTTATTGCAGCTACACCAGCATCGGTCGTAGTGCAACATGAAGAATAGTGAAAGTAAATAATTGTACAACGCCTTCCCAATATGAATTATTGGCGTTAAAGTAATGGAAGAATATCAAGTAGGAACGGGAAGGCCAGCTTTGGGAAGGTGGTCTCTAGCTGCCCGATGCATGCATCCCTGGTGTCACAATCGCACCTTTTTAAAGCAGCTCGAGGGATTGTGCGGCACTTGCTCTAGCTCAAACGAGCAAGTCAGCCGGGAAAAACTGTAAGTTGCGGACAATCTCGGTCGTGGGTCTAGCCTCCGCTCA